TGCGGTGCTGCCGTTTTCCACTATGCGAGGTGGAGACGGGCACTGGAAAACCCGCCGCTTCATCCAACACTCCGACGGGGAAGCCCTCCGGGTGCTCTCCTCTGGGGCTGATCCGGACACCCTCTTCCATCCTGCCCGACCCCCTTAATTCCCCCTTGCTCCCAATATTTCCTTTTAGAGAAGCCCTTCGGAAGGTCAGGACAGCCTGTTTGCAGCCTCAGAGCTTCACCAGAGAAGGGCGAAAGTCTGGGCCAAGAGAAAGAGGAGCTAGTGGTTCAGTGCCAGGGCTCCATCCATCTCTATTAGCTAATAGGAAATGATTCGGCGTTTTGAGAATAATAAATGCTCGATACGCTCTTGGTGCAGAGCAAGCTTTACTTTTTGCCATGGGTGCACCCAGTGGGGCCAGGCGGTGAACGTCACACTAACGGCGCCCGGTGCCAGAGGGGGATCCCTCGCTGTACTCCCAGGATAAGGAAAGGGAAGAGGGGGAATCTCAAAGCTCTCGGCCTTTGTTAAAACCAAACCAGAGGTTCCCACCCGAGTTATGCTCCCATAAAGTCGACATTTTAGGAGCTTTCGGGGAGGCGGCCGAGCTCTTGATGGCGGGCAGGAGCAGCCTCTTTCGCGGTGTCACAGCGCCACCTGCCGCCGCCGCCACGCCACAGCCACCGCCGCCTCCCGCCGTCTCGCCGCGTCGTGGCCCACGGAGCCAGCGCCTCTGCCAGCCAGCGCCCGGGAAGATAAATGTCCACCTCCCAGCCTGGATTTAAGCAGGGGAAGGCCAATAAAAGGTTGTTATTTCCGCTCGCCCGCTTTATCTAAAACAGCCAGACAAAACAAATGAAAAGCCTTTTGTAGAAAATCTTAATTGTGGCTGGACAGTTGTAAACTCATTAAGAGCCGAATTCCAGACAGTTTGCAGACCCGTCATTTATTACACACTCTTAATGCGGATTCTTTGAAGTTGCCTCTGTCTGCAACAACAGAGGGCGTCCCAGCATCCCCAAATACTGGCTCAGGGATCAATTAGGGGCTTTTTGTGTGTGTGTACACACCAGAACGAGCTCCCTTTTGCTAATTAGAACTCATCAAATCTTACCCCCGGATTTCTCCTTTTTTTTTTTTTTTTTTTTAAGGTGAAGCCAGAAGCTTTTTTCCCACTCCCGCAGTTCCGCACATCTGTAAACTTCTTGCCGGCTCCCTAAGTTTTGTCTTTAGCCCTGCAGCGTTTTACACCCCATAAACGGTAACAGCAGTCATTTTCTTTTATTGCACTGTATGGCTCTGAATTTTCCTAACGACAACTTCTGCCAATGCCATAAGTGTGTTCCATCTTATTTTTCTTTAAATATACATATGTGTGTGTAAGTGTACGCCCGTAAAACAAGAAGGCTTGTATTGTTATTCGACATATTTGCAAACAAGACTCGGTGTGCCGCAGAAGTGTGCTGCGGCTCATATTATGGAGGATAACTGCTCTGAGCAGTAAGATGTCCGCCCAAAGCAAGGGTAAATTTCAGCAAGCTCACAGACTTCGTTATTTTCTTTTGTTGCTGAGCTTGGTTTGGCTTGGGGCGGCGGGGGAGGGGTGTGTGTAGCGGAGGGGTGGGGGGCGTGTGTGTGGAAATCTTCCACTCCAAGGAAACCTTCTTGTGTTTTTTTAAAATAAATCCTATTTTGTCTCCTGTGCTCTAGCCTGCTGCCAGCCCACCTCTTTCCTTCGGCTAAATCAGCGAGTAAAATTGACACCATAAATTCTGCTATAATTGTCTGTAAAATTTTATCTGTACCTATATCTATATATATACACATATATAATCTGAGGCTCTAGTAAAATGCAATGCGTTATTTTCATTTGCCACGGGAAATCTGAAAGGGAAAAAAAAAATCCCAAATGTGATGGCAGGGAAGAAAAAAGGGAGTGATGTTTGAAATAACATATTTTGCATGGGCAATTATCTCTAGAAGGGATAACCCTAAAATGAAGGCGCTTCACACAGCGCTTGTGAAGCACACTTAGTGTTAGACATTTTCTGATGGAGGCTAATTAACCATCTCAATTTAAATGTCGCTGTCTGAGCTGATTTACATTATTGTCCCCATCGCAGAACGTCGGACATTTTGGTTTGGTCTTAAATCCCCCACCCCGCCAGGCAAATTTATTAAATCCGCGCTAACTGGGGGCTGTGCCTCCACTGCTAGGCGAAGGGGCTCCCTCCTCGGCTCCTTCCTAAATTATATCCGGAAGGGGGGAAGCAAAGCCTCCTCCCAGCCAAGCAATGGCATTCGGGACCTGAATCTGCCCATTTCGGACCAAAATAAGAGCAAATTTTATCACCTGAAGTCTGTGTTTATGGAACTGACGCCGAAATAATATTGCCTCGGCGGCTGCCCTACCCCTACCACATCTGCGGGCGAAATTCAGTGTGCTGTGGAAGAGCCCTTTCTTAACAATCTTAAAGCATCACAAAGTAGAAAAGAATCAATATATTTTATTTGGCAAAAAGTTAAATATCATTTCAACACAACGATTTGGTCAGTAGGCCTTGAGGTAACTATTTCAAAATAGACAGTGTACGTTCTGCATCAACATAACTCCCCCGATGTCTTTTTTTTTTTTTTTTAATAGATACAAATTTACAATAACCAAATGTAGGGTTTTATAGCGTATAATTTATTATCAATAAAATTAACCTTCATTACAATAACCATCAAATCATTCGATTAAAATTAAAACGTAAACCATAGGTAGTTACCCTTTTCACATATACGTATAGCTCCGAAATCTGATAACTGCTCACTGGTGCAAAAACAATATTTAAGCTAGTCTGTTCCTTTACTTTTTTAAATATATAGATTGTATATACAACCGACAAAGACAGTACTATATATATATCAACTGTGCATACTAAAATTACTTGCTTCAAACCTTAATTCCCAGACATCCCAGACGAGCCTTGTTTTTTTTTCCTTTCTCTTTTTTCGTTGGGATATATATAATATATATATATTACAATCAAAGGTTAACTGTCTAATTATACAGAAAAGACTTAATACACTACAGAGCTATACTCTATGCAATTTTTATAATAAACAACCTGAGTTCAAATTGAATTCTAGCTTACACCATTACATCCGGTACAGCACCCAAGCACATAAATTGAGTCACAAACATAATTACCACAATAAAACACAGTGTTCAAGTATTAGAGCAGAGATCTCTCTGCCGCGCAAAGAGCGAATAAAATTAACTACGTAAGACTAAACTATACAGTTCGTAAATAGTTGTGCATTATGAAAAGGTAGTTTTTTTCTTTTTTTTTTTTTTTTTCTTTCAGTAAGTGAAGAAACAGGTAGATCTATACAAGCCAGCTAAACAGCCTTTTCGTGCTAATGCCCCCTTTTTCTTTCCTGTTAGAAAATTAAAAGTCTTACTGTACCTCTCCTGGCAAACTGGTCTCTGTGACAATCAAGGTACAATCATAATCACAATTTGCCAAGGGAAAAAAAATGAGGCCTGGACCCAGACGCATTGAATGGCAGGGCTCCAGGGGAGGGTTTTTTGTTTTGTTTTTAACTTATTTTTCTTAGTTTTTTTCCTTTTTCCTTTTTTTTTTTTTTTACTTTGTGCATTTTTAATTTAACCCCCATGTCGCCGTCATTCGTCCTTTGCTCGATCTTTGTTGATTTTCTTCATTTTCATCCTCCTGTTCTGAAACCAGATTTTCACTTGTCTCTCAGTTAAATTGAGGAGCCTGGCCACCTCGTATCTGCGGTCCCTAGTGAGATACATATTAAACAGGAACTCCTTCTCCAGTTCCAGCGTCTGGTGCTTGGTGTAAGGGCAGCGCTTTTTCCTGGTGGACCTTGCGTGGAGCCAGTTTGCAGCTGGATTATCTACAACGAAAACAACAGGAGAAGTTCAGGCTCGGGGGGGTGGTGGGAGCATAAGGAGGAGGGGGCTGGAGAGGGAGATACACGCAGGACAAGCGGCGTATGTGTCCCGATATTGGGGTTTAGAGGTGCCTCTCGTCTCCCCAGGCACAGAGCATAGTGAGACACAATGGACTCCAAAATACAAACACATAGAGAGGTCACAAGCAGCGACATGCAGCAGAGCCCCGCTGCCCCCACCTCCTCTCGCCTTTTTTTATTGTTTATAGGATGCAATTTTGGAATACTTTCTCCTCCTCACTCTCTCTGCTAGCTCCCTCCCTCCTTCCTGCCCCCCCCCCCCCCCAACTGCCAGCCCGGGAGTGACCAGTCAGACCAATATGTCATCGAAATTGTTTCACTTTTTAATTTCGGCCTTCTCCTGTATCATCACTGGCAAGACCCAGGGAGCTGGCGAGTCAGCCTGCAACTGGCATAATTAAAACCTCGCCACCTTAGGACCCTCATTCGCACAGCGTTAATCGCGATAGCAACCCCGAGGCGGTCTGCCACCAGTTCCGCAGCAATGGGAGCATCCAGCCCGGCCGGGTTTTTCCACAGAAGAGACGAAAGGGGGGAGGGAAGGGACCAAGTCAACGGCGAGGTTTGTGCATTCAGCACCGCAAGAGCTTCCCAGGCCTGCGAGCCGTCTCAAAAAGACCAGATTCACATCCGATGCTTTCTAGACACCCTCTCCCTGGCGTCTGCCTGGGGCAGGAGGATGCAAACGCGTCCCACGAAGTTTGCTGGGGTGGCTGAGGAGGGAGAGGGGGGCAGCTTTTGCCTTTCTGGATTTGGGGGTTGGCTGGTGGGGTTTTTGTTGTTGTTGTTAAGTTGCAGCTGTAGGGTGGGTTTTTTGTTTTCCTTTCAGCCTGGAAAGCCCGAGCCATCCTAGATCCCGTTCAAGCTTGCGGAAGGCAGCTGTAGCTTCCGCAGATGGCAGACCCCGGAGAGCTGGAGCTGCGGCGCTGGCAGCCGGTGCTCGGCCGCGCAACTAACCCCAGCGCCTCGCCACCTCCCCGCCGCCGGCGCAGTGCCCTGAAGTCCATGACCCTCGCAGTCCCACTTACTTGGATCGATCTGCGGTTTCTCTCCGTTTGCCTCACTTTCTCCATTGCTTTCAGAGAATGCGCCTTCGTGGCTTTGCTTATCCCTATCAACTGGAGGAGAACCACAAGCATAATCAGAGAGAGACAAAGTGTGAGTGTCAAACGTGGTACAGTCAGCCCTCCTGGCCGCCAGCGGTTCAGGTTTAATGCCGTAATGCCTGCCGGTAGGTAACCCGGGGAAAGACAAGGAGCCCGGCACAGGCTCAAGCCACGAACGCATGTACCTGCCGTCGGGCGGTGCCACCGGCGCCTGGTGGTGCGCGTAGGGGTGGTAGACGGCGGGGACGCCGCTGGCGCCGGCGGGGTGCGCGGGGCTCCAGGGGGGGCCGAAGACGGGCGCCTTGGGCTGGAAGCTGCAGGGGGCCAGCTCGGGGTGCTCGGCCAGCGCCGCCGGCCGCGGAGGCGGCGGCCCCAGTGGGGCGGGGGGGTAGCGGGGCGCCGACAGCTCGTCCCCCTCCGGCACCAGGAAGGAGTCCACGTAGTAATTGCTGAGGGTCCCGGGAGCCGACATGGCGGGCGCGGGCGGCGGACCCGCCGCGGTTCGGGGCTGCGGGTTTCACGTAACAACTTGGTGCTGGCGGAGAAGTAGACTCAGTAATAAGTTGAGGGCAGCCCGGGCGCCCATTGGCTGCCCCGGTCACGTGGCGGGGGGAGCAGAACAATAAAGTATAAATCAGTCCGCGGGCTATTAATGGGTCACTGTTTTCCAGCCATAATTTTTATAGCGAGGCCATATGTTTTTATGCAAAGGGATATTTGAGTTATACGCGGGGTTTGTTTTAATTGCAGCCAACCGAGATGAAAAGATCAGATTCCGTATTACGCCCCCCCCTTCTCTCTCCCCTCTTTTTCTTTTCTTTTTTTTTTTTTTCGTTTAAACGGACTATTTTATATCATAATTAATCATCCCATCAGTGGGTCGTGTTCCCCGAGGAAAAAAAAATTAAATAAGAACCTCCACCACCCTTGTGATCTGAGACCTTCACATAAAATGATACAATAATAAAACAAAACAAAACAAAAAAGAACTAAAAAACAACAAAATAGCAGTTGCGGTATAGTGTAGTCAAATATGTATTTATTATATTTCACAAGGAGTTATTGTTTCAGGAACCACGGGGTTGTTATTAAGTCAGTAACTATGAGCGTGCTCATTTGCATCGCTGTGTTTCACAGCAGTAAAAATTTACGAGTGTTTGGAAAGGTTAAATTATACTATTGTGTTTAGTTTGGGAACTCACTGTAAATAATACCGTTCCGTTCAGAGCAGAGCCAGAAGCGAAAAGTCAAATTCAACTTACCCCCTTCCAGCAACCCGGCCGCCGGGACGGAGGAGCACAGCGGCAGGGGCTGGCTCGGGTATTTGGGCTGGCCCGCACCAAACTGCACTTCATCACGCACCCCACCCGGCCGGGGAGATCGCGGCAGTGACCGGAACACCCTCTGAGTCCTCCCCTCCGTGCCTGCCCGCCCCTGCCCTTGGATGGGGCCGCTGCGAGCGGGGACACCCTAGCCAGGCCGGGGAGAGGAGCCGGGGCTGGGCGGCCGGAGGTGAACGGAGACTTCGTCCCGGCCGGGAGGGAAGGAGTGCGGTCAGAGCCGGACGCCGGAATTTATCACGACGATTAATTCTTTAACGATGCAGGGAAGCAGCAGGGGGAAAAGGGTGAAAAAGCCCCGTCTCCCCGCTGCCGAAAGGCACCCTGCTTCTCCGGGCGGCTATCAAAGGGGCGCTCACAGTCGGCCGTCCCGCAATCTGGTGAATCAAATTTATGTGCAAATACAGTTATTTGCTGGCACCTCCTTTTGACTGCAGGACACACGCTAACGGCATCGGAAACCGAGTGGAGGGTTACAAGAGGGGAGGGTGCGCGGGGGGAAAGTAAGAGGCGGACAGATCCAAGTCCAGTGTTAGGAATTAAAGTCGTGGCTGAGCGCTCTGCAAACACGCCTGCGACTCCCTGGGTTTTCTCCTCCGGCGGAGGCTCACGCTGTTTATCCCCGCGGTTGGCGAAGGAGCGCGGTCAGTAGAATGCAGGGAGCACAAAAAATCTCGGCGAGTGGCTCAATTTACTCGAAATAGCTTTTATTGAAAATAGAGCCCGGCGAATGGTAGGGACGGCTGAGTAATAATTAAAATCACGTGTAAATATTGTGCATGCGAAAGTGTGGTTCTAATTAGTTTTACATCACTGTGTGGCTGCCTCTCTCCCTCTCCCGCTCCCCCTCTCTCTTTCTCTCTTTCTTTTTCTTTTCATGTCTTCCCAACAGTTTAATCTGAAATCTTACAGAGATCCGATTTTAACAACGCTCTCTCCCCCCATTCACTATTACAAAGGCCCATAATGAAACTATTATCCCCCATTAGAGTTCGAAAATTACGGAACAGTTGCAAGATCTCCACAAACAAGGAGCCCGTTATTTTCTAATAATTTAAAAGATGCAAATAAATCTCTCCTTTTTTTTTTTTTTTTTTTTTGCCATTGTGTAGACACGCCATAATAGTACAAAATAACTGTATTTCTTTCCTGGAAAGACGGAACTCGACGTCATTTGTATTTATTATTGAGAGTCAGCTGTGGTGAAATGTGATTGTAGAACTTCCTTTTTCCATTCAGAAAAAATAATCTTAGCTGCAGGAGTCCTGGATGTTTATATTCGAATTTGGGTTCTCGACTTGCAGTGGGTTTCATTTTTTTGGTTGCCCACCAAAAATAATAGCAAATGAATAACAATAACAGTAATGCTTTAAAGAAAGTGCCTGCATTTTTATTTCCCTGTAAAATTCTGCCTTTGCTCACTGTCAGCGGCCAAGTGGCAGGAGCGGGTGTACAGAGAGCAAGGGATAAAATACAGCAAATAATTACAGGCGTTTTTCACGAGGTCACGTTGCTGATAATAACGCTGGGGCATTCATCTCTCTTTTCGTCTTTTTAGACTCCTTTTTTCCTCAAAGCCCATTTTGCAGGCTAGCCACCAAGGCTAGCGGGGGCTCCCCACGATTTGCGTTGCAAATTACTGAAGGTTTTGGTGGCTCAGACACTCGGAGGCAAAAGCCTCCCAACGTTCACATTAAATTGCACAATGAAATCCGAATTCCCAGGGACGAAGCACCGTTGGAACCATCGTGCCTGGACAAAAATACTCCCTGCTCTCCACCTCGATATAACCAAGTTAGCAGAGGTCCCAGCCTACTGCCTTTTACCCCCGGCTGCAAGAGGAAGGACACTGTCGGTTCTTAAGCGAAGGGTATCTGTAAGCCCTGTTACTTTAGCAGAAGGCGCTGCGCGGGCGCGGGGCAGGAATGCACGGGACTTGGCAAACACTCCTGAACGGGAAGTTCAGGATCGCCTTTCCCTAGGGTTTCCTGCCACCGCAAATCTCTCTCTCACGGAATCGCCAGTGCTACGAATGCACGGAGGTATTCTCGCAATGGCGGAGAGAAAATGAAAACCCAGAATTAGGGTAAAGGAATCAAAAATCAGGATGATGCTGAAAAAAAAAAAAAAAGAAGAGAAATAAAAAGCAGAGGCAAACCTATGTACAAAGACCGCAGAGGCAGGCACGGACATACACACTGTAAACACACTCCCAGCACGATCACAGCAGATAGCCCGTCAGATGTGCAGTGTGGGTAGAGGCAGACATGAACACTTAAATTTGACTGCAACGTCGAATTCTGTTCCTGTTCCAGCCATGGACACCTCCTTCTCTGAGGAAGGCTAGGATGGGTCTAGATAAATCCGTTAGCCAAACTCCTCCGAGTTCCCGCATCCCATTTCGAGTTTTGAGAAAGTTGGGTTGGGTTTTTATTTTTTTTAGGCAAAAATAATCACAGTCGCTACAAAATAAGTAGAAATGCATACACACTGAGATCGAGTTTTCTTCACTTTCCCCTGCCTGCCTTCCTGCTGCCGAGGGTGCCCCGCTTCGCTGTGGTGCCGAAACTGGCGGAGGGCCCGGCGGGAGACCGCCCCTGCCAGCGGCCGCTCTGCGGACACAAAAGACGGCTGTGGTGGCAGCGGCGGCGGGCCCGGAGAGGTCGCTGTTGCCCGTTCCGCCTCCGCGGAGAGCGACCGCGCCGCAGTCGTGATCGTAACCGAGGCCTTGCGGGCCGCCGGGATGCCCCGGGGGAGCGGATCTGACGGGAGGTAGAGCGGGGTTGGCCGACCCCGCGACAGGCCCAGGCGGGCAATAGACACCCCCAACATGGAGTAGAGCCGCCGGCGGGGCCGCGCACCCGCACCCCGAGTGGGGTCCGATCGGCCACTGCCCCTGTGCTCCGGGGCCTTGTTTGTGATGGATACGCGGAACGGGGCCGGCAGACTTGATCTCTCCCGACTCCCTCCCCCAGGCAGGCTTTCGGGTCTCTGTTTTTTAATAAATCCAGACAGAGAAATATAAAGAGCATTTCCCCCCCCCCCCCCCCCCCGGTTCTCCAGCCCCCCGAGCTCGACGCACGCAGAGCGGAATACAAAAACGCACCTGACCTTGAATGCAGCCTACGAGATATATTAAAATCCCGCAAACAGGCAGGGACTCGCTTAGGAGCTAGCTAACCTTGAAGAACTTGCCAAGCTTCCCCCCTCGGCTGCCGTGTTTATCTGAGGAATCAAAGGAGGCTCCGTTGCAGATGGGGAACAATGGCATTGGGACTTGACGCCTACAGATCAGTTCAGCGCTAAGATTTCTTCGGGCAGAAAGGACCCTCGCACCAAGCATACCTGGTGATGATATCAACTGAAGTAATTAAGGCAGTTTCGTGCTGTAGAGAGAAAGGTGGAGCCCCAACAACATGAAACTACCTAAACCACAGAGCAGTTCTCAGACGCTAATTATTACTTTCCCATTGCCGTGGTCCTTAACGCAAGGATCCCGCTACAAAAATAAAACCAGAAACGTAACTGAAACATCCCTCTCTCCCGCCCGCCCAGCCGCCGCCCCTCCTCGGTCCCCAGCCAGCCTCGGGTGGGTTAATGAAAACAAGAAAAATATATAATAACATCACCATCACCACCCCACCCTTCTCGGGCAGCTTTCGCCTCTCCATGCAGATGCAATCGGGAAGAAAAAGGCCATGCACGCCAATGTTAACATCACGAGAAGCTAAAGGCTCCCAAGGAGCTAGGGTTCAAAGTCTGTCTCCCCCTCCTCCCAGCATACATAGACCCTCAAGGAAGCATTAGCTCTCTCTCTTCTCCCAGACCTCTTTTTGCCTTCCCTTTGTGCAAGACTCCATCAGTTAAACATGCAGCAAAGAAGGGAGGATGCAAAGCAAACAAAAAAAAAAGCCCAACCAATAAAACCCCAAAGCAGTATAGGTGAAATAAGCTCTTCCACATGCAGCCAGGTAGCGAATAGTCTTGTCTGGAGGGGCCCACTGACAGGGAGGGGAGGCTGGGGTACCCCCCCCCCCCCCCATGAGCTCACCTTTACGATTTCTTCTCAGCCCTGAGATAAAGCTAGAATTTTGTCACCGTCCTCTGGTGTAAAAGATCTCCGCACACATGTAGGTGTTTGATTAAAGAAAAAAAAAATCATTTCCCTACTCTCAAGAAATAGTAATTTGCTTCCTCAGTCTATGCAGCTCCTCAGTCAACTGAAACCACTCGTTCAAGACAGCAACAATCCAGATATACTAGCAAGTCATAAAACTGAACAAAAGCCGACAAACCTTAGAGCACCATCGCTATATGGCCCAGACAAATTACGACCGTCTAGGTAATATTTAAATAGATTCCTAAAGTAATTGCAGGGGGTTTAGGCAACTATTCCTGTTGTAAAAGTTCTCAAAGACATAAAGTAGAACCTGAGGATAAACAGTCACAAAAAGAGGTAAAATTAAAAGGATTCATTCAACGGTATTTTATTCTTCTATGAGAACATAAACATCGTCTTTTTTCACGCACAGCAGCATTACAATATTAATTTATTCCGATTTAAGGTAAGAACTAGATATAGCTAGAACTAACATTTATAATAACGATAGAATGCATTTGCTTAAAACAGTATCGGCATTTTAATAATAATAGACATTTATACATATCTGTATTTATAGCTTTTCCCCTTTTTTCTTTCTTTCTTTTTCTATTTTTTTAATTTTTTTTTCACCTATATGTTTGACCCTTTAATGCATGTAACTTCACAGTATAAAGGAAGACGAACATTTCCTCCCTCGCAATCTCAGACTCTGGCTCAGAAAGTCCGTCTGATGATCAAGATACATAGTTTTCAGTGAAATTAGTGAGGAAAAAGTGACCACTTCCTTCTCAAAGGGGAATTTCTGTGTGCTTGTCATGCGTTACCAACGGTAACGTTATTTATAGACAGAAAAAGATCACTAATTCCACGTATTTAAGCAAAACTACGTTAAGTAAATATCTACAACCAGAAAGAGAGAGAGAAATTCAGAGGTAAGTGTCATAATTTAGTCCATGAGCAACACGAACGCTTTTATACCTTTAAAGAGAAGAGATTTCATTTTCCTGGCCAATTTTAAAGCTGTAATGTTTACTTTTAAGGTAAAGCGAAAAAAAAATAAAAAAAACTCTCTTAACACCCTTTCCCATGAAGCCCTGTTAAAGTATGCCTGCATTTCATTATTGTAAGTCTGCTTTTCGAAGGAAAAGGGGGAGGGGAAGAAAGCTCCCAATATATAGAAATATGTCAAGGCTTAAATTCTTCACTGTGCAGCTACGTACAGTTCAAGTTATACTGCTTCTAATTTTAAAGAATACGCCTTTAACCAAGCTTATTTACTTTTCAGAGAGATATGGGGGGAAAGATATTTGCAGCTCCCGAAATGGCATTTCTGTGTTTCAAAGCTTAAAGGAACAAGCCGGTCCCCGGAAAGGCCGAAGGAAGCGGGGAGGTTCACGCACGGCATTTTGTGCATTAAGTTAGCTTTAGTCGTGTTCCCTCACCCTCCCTTCCCACTCCAAAGTAGTTCTTAAGAGGTTAAGGACATATTGAGAGCCCCTAAAATCGTTAATCCATACAGGTGCGGATGACTACAGCCTAGGAAAATGATACTGGCTCTTTAAACCATAAAGATATGTTTATGGATTCATCAAGAGAAATTAAAGTTGGCTGTGAGCTCCCGAATCCTATTCTCTCTGTTCATTTTCTTCAGTTTCATTCTGCGGTTCTGAAACCAGATTTTAACTTGTCTGTCTGTGAGGTGGACTGTGCGGCTGATCTCTAGGCGACGCTCACGAGTCAGGTACATATTGAACAGAAACTCCTTTTCCAGCTCGAGAGTTTGATGCTTGGTATAGGGGCACCGTTTCTTTCTGCCACTTTTTGCCGTGAGCCAGTTTGCTGCATTTTCTCCTTTTGAATTGCCTAGTTTTGAGAAAGTAAAAAAGGGACGTTACCAGCGGGTAGGAGGCAATGAGCCAGGAAGGGACAGGGTGGAAGGAGCATCTGTGTGTGTGCCGGTGTGTGTTTGGGAAGCTCGCTCTGTCACTTGCGG